CTGCATTAAATTAATTATATAAGAAAGATCGTGATGACTGATGAGAGATTTGGAATGGTATGTTTAATGAAATTAACTTTTAGAAGCTTTAGTTGGAAAGCAGTATAATTTTGTTTTCCTTTTGAGGAATTCTTGCACTGCTTGCATGTAAAGAGACAGTTGATTAAGATGGTTAAACTAAAAAGATTAACCTTGAAAGACTAACTGCATTTCTTTATAACCTCTTTCCCTTTCTCCATTCTAGAAAGAAAAGCTCAATTGGACCTTCACCCTTGCAACTTGAATGTATCTAGTCGATCCTTTTGGTCAATTTGGGACTTAGAGAACCATTCTTAGTCTCTAGAATTTATACCTAATCTCCCATTATCTCAAATTTGAAATGGTTGAAAACAAAAAAATATTTATTTGTAATTTATCTCTTTGTAGCACTACTGCTTGTTTTGCTATATTGTTATTACAAGCAAATTAAATATAAGAATATTTAAATCTACAAAAGTTTCTAAATGGTTGAAAATTTTCAAAGTATTTTGATGAGTTGGCTTACAAAGAAAAGCATATAGCAAGGGAAAGTCTACAACAAAGCCTGTGATGATGTCTTTAGAAGTTAGAACTACTACTTCTAGAGGGTGGGCCTTGTCAGAACGGTTGAATTGTTTCATTGCAACCTGGGTGATTAGAGTTCAAATCTTAAAAACAGTCTGTCTATGTATCTCTACTTCTGTAAGACTAAGGTTGCATACATCTATCCCTCCCCAAACCCTAAACTGGCAGAAGCCTCGTGTATTGGGCTGCCCTTTTGAATTAGAACTACTACTATAGGTATCTTATTTATGTTTATTTGGATATTTAATAAGTATAACTGTTAACAATTACAAAGCAATTAAAATTATATATTTCAAAATAAATAATAATGATCATATTAAAAAAAGTTTCACGATACATTTCTAATTTTAGCAACAATTTTAGATTTTCACATGCAATTCAGGCAAGATATTATAATATGTTTCTTCTGAAAAAAAAATGTTAGCTATGAACAGTAAGTAACATAGTAGGGGTATATCCCCCCTCTATATTATTTATTAAGAGATGGTAACACCCTTAGATTCTCCAACTCTCTTATCAGGGTATTTTCATCATAGAATTTCACAGAAAATAAATAATTCAAAAAAAATATAATCATTAGCCCAATACTTGTTAATGTACATTGAAACAAAAATCTGATAAATAAAAAAGAGAATATTTAATACCTTAACATTATAAGTGCTTCAAACATATATTCCTCTAGGACAACAATATAATTTTACTGTAGTATTTTATTAAAAGTTCTATGCAACAAAGAGATTAACAGGTTGGGCCTGGATCAGGTTTTCTTTTAGGTTGGGCTAGGTTATAAATGATCATTTCTAGTTATGAGTGATAGGTGTGCTCATGTTTCAGTTAACCAAATCATAAACACATTTTTAAAACTGAATGGATATCACCGATTTTGCATTTCTTAGAACAAAAACAAGCGGTTAACTAGTTAGTTCATTAACCTCTCTTTGATTTTTATGATGTAATTTTCGTTCAAAAAAATCTTCTTCCAAAAACAAAGAGATTAACAGCGGTGGTGTGGCGGCAACCAAGTGCAAAAACAGAGGAGCCTTCAATTTCAACCTTTAACCAAGTCCAAAAGCAAAAAACAAAGGTAGCGGTTTTAGCGTTCCTTCTTCCTTGTGTGACCAGATGGAAGTAATAGAGAGAGAGAGAGAGTGAGGAATGGAGATTAGAGAGAGTGAGGGACAAAAGAATTTTTGGGTCGCATTCCTTTTCTTATTCAATATTCAGACCTCGAAAAATGATCGCCGAACCAGTGTTCTTGTCTCTTGTGGAGAGTAATGATTCCACCAAGAGGGCTAACGGCAGAAAGCCGGAGACTGGAGGATAGGTTCGGTGCTCGGGGAGTTGGTGTGTTCTTCTCCAGTGTTCAGTATTCCATGAGTGTCTGAGAGAGAGAGGTGAGATTGGGAGCAGTTGAGAACGAGGATGCTGCTATCTTTCAAAAACAAAAGGCAAAGGTGAGCTGTGAATGGGAGGAAGGGAAATAGAAATTTTAAATTATTAATTTGAAATTTTAAAATTACAAAACATTGGTTTGGTTAACAAGAATTTTTTCTAAGTTAACTGAAAATAAAACTGGTCTTTTAATATTTTAAAAATAAACCGACTCATTCAATTAACTGGATTTTTATTTATTTATTTATTTTTTTGGTTTTTGATGAGCACCCGCAATGAGTGGACTCTCCCCTTGCAATTGTTGGCATATTTTAGAGACATTAATTAAGGCCTCGTTTGCTTTTTGTTAAGTTACTTACCTGGGTAAATGCAATTACCTGGGCAAGTTTTTCCTGGGAAACACTTACCCAAATAAGTATATTTACTTATGTTCTTTCATTTCCAAGTAAAAAAGAAAATGACTATTTTAGCCATAAAAGTCCATTATTAAAAGTGGCATTTTTGTTCCATTAAAGTGTTGTAAACTTTCCCCCTTGGTGGGAAAATTATTTACTGGGTAAGAGATACTCAAGAAAATAAACTTTCCCCGATCTCCACATTAATCTGAAAAAAGAACATGGGATTATCCCATTGACCAACTTTCTCCCCTCTCAACAACTCCACGAGGTGAAAATATAACGTAGATATACAAAACATCACTTAAGCTCAATTTGGAAGGAGTATAAATACATACAAATATGTACAGTATAGATATACATAAAATAATACAAACACAAGATTTTGCTCTCTACATATTTGTCTTTTTACTTCTTCTAAATGGATCCTTAGTTGCTTATGTAATTCTAACAGAAACCCTTGTGAAAGGTGTTAAACAACATCAAAGTTAAAATCTATTTCAAATTCAACCAGGAAAAATTTTATGAAAAAATAAGACGAAAAGGAAATACTACCATGACCACTTATTTCTTCTGAAAGACCTGGGAAATTTGTAGGAAGCCTGAGCTAAGATCTAGATTGATTTTAGCAAAATTGGAAATTATCTTATCTAGTTGTCCTACAAACTTGATATTATCAATGGTACTTAGAGTCTAATGTTCCTTTACAAAAGTCAATCTTGTATTTAGGTTTCATCATTATCAACAACATTGAGGTTCAGTAGGAAAAACTGAACTGAAACACTAATTAGGAAATTTGTTTCAGGTGGTATACAATTACTCGTAAGCAAATGGCTGATGGTATGAAGACTGCACATAACAAGGTTTAGTGATCATGTATAATGAAAATACATATTTCCTGTTAATCATTTGATCTTCACTTGAAAGGAAAATTATAACTAACAAAAACTCCCTTGACTTTACTGACAATCTCTAAGTAGGTGTGTGGCATTGGTGTCGGGAACATCGCACCGTTTTTTATAAAAACAGTGCTTATTTTTTTTTTAGAACTGGTGCTGCCACATAGGCATTTTTTAAGAAAATAACACTGGTTTTTATTTGGTACCAGTGCTGGCAGGTGGCAGCAATGTTCTCAACATTGATTTACATTATCTAATGTCCAAGATAATGCCACATCATTGCACTACTGGTAGAAATACACCGTTTTCTTAGAAAATATTGAATTTGGCGTTGCTCCAAACCACACTTTCCTGATTTTCAAGGCATAGTCTAGAGCAATATTTTTTTTCCTAGAAAAATGGTATCAAACAAGAGGGCATTGTTTGAAACACCGCTTTCTCTGATGTGGCACCTACATGGTGCCGTTTTTTCATAAAATGGCATTAATGTCAAACACCTACTAAAACTTCCCATGATTTTCAGATACCTCCAAGGATCCCTTCCATGAGCTTGATGGAATAACAAATGAAAATGCAAAATTACTACTCTACCCATCATCCTTTTTATAATCTTCATGCATATGTATCTAAATATACCCAAAATACCCCTTAATAGTGACCATTTTTTTGATAGGTAAATAAAAATTTATTGAAAAACAGATGGTCCTTATCAATATTTAAATTTATGAAACTGGATAGGCAACCCGCTTCATTGATTACATTTTGGCTTACCAATGCAAATGCAGATCAACGTGTTTCCCTATTATATAAGGCTTATAATATATGAATTTCAATAAAATTAACAAATTAATGTTGCCAGATTCATGACCCTACACATAGAGGGTCTAAGATCCTAGGGGTGTGTGTGCCTGTGTTACCTTTTCTTTTTCTTAGTTGGGGACCGGGGGGGGGGTTAAGGAAGAGGGAGAAAGAGAGGGTATGGGTTTTCTATATTGTGTTAAATTAAATGATTATATTTCCTTTGGTTGCCCAGAAACCTTTGAGAAATGCTACATAAAAAAAAAACAGATTGTAATTAACGTGATAATGGGAAGATGGTAAAGGACCCTTGTTCATGTGTTGTATTAATTACTCATATTTCATGATAAAAAATAATTTAAATGATTATATTTTGTTGAACCTTCTGAACTGCAGACCAGTATTAGTGCACTCTTAAGGGTAATTGTTTCTCACATATTTCTATCTCATTGCTTTTGTAGCATGAAAATGGAAGAGATGAGGAAGCTTCAGGATGGAAAATGCATCACTCTTTAGAAAGGAACATCAGAAAGACGTTGACTTGGGCTGGTGCCTTTTCAGTCTTGGAGAAAGACATGAAACCAGAGTAATTAAAGATCTATACAGTTGATACCATGTGAAACTAAATAATATTTCTGATCAGTTGTTGATTGTAAAAGAAGCTTGGTTAATTTGGACATGGGAAAAGGGTATACAATAATATATTACTGTAGAATCAACTACGGAAATAGACTTCTATTGGTAGTCTTATCATGTTTCTTCGATGGGAAGAAAGCTCGTGACAAGATTGATTAGAAAGAGAATCAGATAAATTGCCTTTCCCTGTGAAACTATATAACAGTTATTATCTTGGAGCAAAGATAATCACATGAAGAAGAAGATGGAGAAGAGCCAAGAGATTTCGAGTTTCAAATTAAAAGAACTCTATGGTACCCGTTGTTGATGTATCTTGAGGCTCAGGCCCCAGCCGAAGTTCCAAGTCTGGCTCCTCTCTTGCCCAATAACCATCTGTTGATTGCATCCTCTCTTCATGCCCATCACTCGATGATTGCCGATGTTCACCGTCTGAAGGAGTCTCTTCAAACAAGGACAGCTGCCGGAGTTCTCCCACATGAGTTTCCTGCTGTCTGGCTGCAGCAACATCTTCTTCTCTGTTAACAATCCATGTCCAATTAAGAGAGCTGCCACTTCTCTCTTCCCTAGACTCCAAAATGGGTGATGAGTCATACCCCGAGGAAAGCTGAGGATGGGAGCTGGGAATTTTCTTGGCGATATCCAAGGTGAGATGGCTTCTGATATTCGATGGTTGTTTGAGCTTTGCCCTATCTCTTCTATGAATATTCATATGGCCCCCTAGTGCCTGTGCATTAGAGAATCCTCGCTTGCAGAAGGTGCATTCGTAGGACCTAGCCGGGCTTGGGCCCTGCTCATCTGAGCTTCCGGCCACCTGGTCTGAAATTTCAGGGCTTGGACGATCAGTTTCCATTTAATTTCAACCAGGCCAGCAACGATTGCAGCATGAAGAAGCAGATGACAGGGGAAAGGAGGCCTGGCTCGGTAGGGATGCCCAACAGGTAGGTGACGATGGGAGGGAGGATCCATGTTTTGTTGAGTATTAATTCTATTTTGGCAATGGCCTATTAGGGTTGATTTCTGGTCTTCCAATGAAATGACATAGTCAGACTACACGTATTACTTACCAGTCCAGATCTCCTGCCCACATAAATTCTGCCACGTCTACCCATATAACATCGCATCCACACAAATAGAACATCTCATCCTCCTATATAGTATCATGTAGGGGGAGATGTTCCTAATTCACGGGGGTAATGTGTTGTGGGTAGACGTGGCTAGAGTTCTTTTGGACAGGAGATCTGGAGTCATTACTACAAGGATTATACAATTAATCTCGAATGACCAAAATACCCTTTAGTCAAAGAATCATTATTTGCCTGATTTTTTTTTTTTTTAATTTGGGTGGTTAAATCTCTCAAGCTAAGGTCTAAGGGATAAAAAACTGATATATAATAAAAGAAAATGTTTATGCAGTTAAAAAATCAAGATGAAATATTAATAACCTGAAAAGATGTTTTTTTCTTTTTTCTGATGAAGGGGGTGTTATCCAACATGAATTGTTGTTTCCTCCACTCTGCTGTTATTTCAAGAAAATTACACACATCCAAGATTTAGATTCTTGTTCAGAAAATGAACCATCTACCCAATAAAAAAGAAAGAAAGAAAGACAATGAACCCAACCACATTTTGACGACAAATTAAAATCATTGTAAGTTCATTAAGTAGTAGAAAAGTAAGCATTAAGGTTCTATGCTCGGTCTTTATGAGACCTCCTCTCTGTATTACCGACCTTTATTAGATGAAGTAGAAAAAGAAAACAAGAACCAACCAACCACAATAAAGATTTTTTTCGCAACATGCCCCCAGGATAATGACCCTACTGCGAAACTCCTCTAACTAAACATTACAAAACTGATTCATAAATTTCTATTAACGTTTTTAATTATTTAACATGCATAAAAATCTCAAATGTTGTCTGATTCTTATATAACTTTAAATCTTTTGTGTTTTTTTTTTTTTTAAATTAAAAATTCAACCAACATCTCAGAACCGAATGTTTAACAACTTCTTAAGATCCAGACGCTAATAGAGGTTGTTTTCTGTAGACTATACATGTAGTTGGATCAATCAGTTCAATGCAACAATAACTTCAAATATTAATATTGTTAAATGCAAAACCGGCGCGTGCAACTCTCTGTGTTCTATTCGTGACCTCATCGCTTTGATCAAGTACGTCAACCATTCGAGCAAACAAAGTCAAGACTAATTAACCCCATTTCATTTGTCGTTTGTCATGCATCAAAATTCATACCACCAGAGAGAAGAGAGATTCATTGGGTTTCAAGGAAATTAAATGAAAATCCCATTGACTGGACAAAACCTAAAATCCTTCCAACTGGTGAATACAGTTGAGTGATTATATATATTTATGAAAAATGGACGGAGATACAGTCTAAGTTCAGATCCATATTCCATCAACTATGTATTTGTTCATTAAACTAAACTGTGTTCTTATTAGTTAGAATAAAATGGAAAGCTTAACCACCCTGTCTTTCCTTATTTTCCGTTGACTTGTTAGTTGTTGCAACGCTTATTAATTCTTCGGTTCAGGTATCCCCATCGAGGTGGCGAGGGTAGGTACGTCAAATTGGATCTAAAATATGAGCTCCGTCACCTTCTGTGCGACGTCATGTAATGTAATATAATGTCGTACGTGTTTGAATCTGTTTGTTTTTATTGATTTTGGCCGTTCGGCTTTGGCCGCTCCCAGCCCTCCATTTCCTTTGCTTTTTTCAGTGATTCAATGCGAGAAGCCACTGTTAAACAAAAGTTGGAGATAAGGTGATTCGAACCAGGTGGGGTCATTGGGTTTTCCACGTGGAAACACCAGATATGAGATGTAATCTGTAACGAGCATATCCGGACTCAAAGCTGAGTATTCCACATTCCACAGTATATTAAACTAGCAGACCCCGTGCCACGGGATGGGGCACTCCTCCCTATCCCGGTGGTGGGGTGGGTTCGAGGCGAGGCACTCATTCCTAATCGGGGATGGATAATTCCAAATTTTCCCCATCCGAGGACCTAAAAATGATAATTTGTGGATATTTTACAAATATGATTATGAGAATTTGAGGGTATTTTATAAATAGAATTTTCAGATGCTAATATTATAAGAATACGAGGAAAACTTATTGATATTTTAAAAATCAATATTAAATCTACTAATATTTTACTAATTTACCATCGGGATTGGAGAATTATAAGCAAACCCTATCCCTTCCTCGTCCTTGATTTGGAGCAAAAATATTTTCCCCGTCCCCACCCTGTCTCTTCCCCATCCCTATTTAAAATTCAAGAAAACTTACTCCGTTCAGGGTGGGGCAGGATAGGGCCCTAGTTTTATAGGGAAAATTTTTGTTGATTTGCAAAAATGTATAGTAAATTAGTTATTTATATAGCAATAAATTAATGTGAATTAATGCAGATTATTTATTTTTAAGCCTAAATCATTTACTATTAATCAATGTGATGTAATTATAGTAAATTAATGTAATTATGGTAAATTACATTAATTTTAATTAAAAGTAAATCATTTACTATAATGGGTTGTTATCTAAATAAATTTCAACCAGGTGGTTTAGACATAGATTTAATAATTTTACTTAATTATTTCATAATTATTTATTAAAATAATAATAATGGGTTGTTATCTAAATAAATATGAAACAATTTTTGATAGATTAATTTCCTAATTTATTTTTCCTAAAATTTTAATAATTATTTAGTCGAATAATAATAATGAACTATTATTTAAATAGTTTTGGAGATTTTTTTGTAGATTAACTTTTGATTTTTTTTAATTATTATTTATTTAATTTATTAGTTAAATAGTTTTCCTAAATTATTTGATAACTGTTAACTATAATTGTTGATTTTATAGAAATTAGTAAATTACACCAATTAGTAATATCTTATTATGAATAAATAATTGTTATAAAAATTTAATGAAAATTTATTAAATTACAATGATTAATGTAAATTATGTTAAACATTAAAATTTTGAACGTTTATTAATTAACCAAATCTTAGTTTTCACTAATGGTTAGTCAGTTTTGAGTGACCAACTCCTTAAGCCAACCAAATCAGTTTGGCCAACCAATGAATTAATCTCTAACCTGAAGTGAATTGCCTAGTGAATACTCCTAATTTTAGTTAAATTAATAGTTTAATCTCTAACAAATATCAATAGTTTCATTTCCAATAATTATTGAAAATTTATAGTGAAAATACACAATTGCTGAAAAATATATTTATAACGAAAATATAATAAATAACTAATAAAAAGCTTTAATACCTCTAAGTTAATTAATATACTTCCACTATTTCAATAATATTTATGTTTTCATGTATTTATATTTTATATTCTTAATAAACATTTAGTCATGTTAAATATTTTGTTATTTAAATATTTAAATAATACGTAAAATATTTAAAAATTTTCATTATTTGAGTTTTATTTATTTTAATGTTGTTACGTAATATTAAATCTAATAATATGAATATTATTAAATCTAATAAAATTAATTTTTGTGTTTTGAATAAAAATTTTAAAAGTTAGTGTTTAATTTCGTTATAATATTTAAATAATTGTGAAAATTTTTAATTGACACTTTCTTTAGATAAATATGGATAAAAAGTGGGAGAGAGGATAAATAGGAATTAGAGATAGTTTAGGAGAGTATCTTTTTTCTAATTTAGAGATAATTTAATAGATACATAGGAGTTAGAGATAATTTAGGAGATAAATAGGAATTGGAGACAGTTTAGGAGAAAGTAAGGGAAAATGTTGCCAGTTGGCCAAACATTAGAAAAGTAAATCCCTCATTCTTAATGGTTGTTAGAAATAATTAAGCCTACCTTATTTTTTTATTTGTTTAATATATAATTATATAAAATTAAAAAAATAAAAAAAGGAAATTAAAGAGGGTTTAATGAAAGGAGAGGCATGATGAGTGAACTGTCTTGTTACATATATATATATATAGATATTGCTTTCATTTCTTCCTTCCCATTAATATTATATCATAAAGGAAAGGAAAAGGAGAAGAAAATAGAGAAGCATGACCGTCCGATTAGAAGATTACGTGGGCTAACATCTGAATGTGTTTGGCATTAATTATAATTAGCAGTGAGTGGTAATGCGTTTCGTGGAAGACATGGCGTCTGATGACGTACGATCTTAGCGACAAGACAATGTTGTTGTTATTGAATATCGATGAGGTGACGCTTTAATTTGATAATCAGATGGATTCCAATTCCATGATGCGCTACTATGGCTTAATTTCTTGCCGAGAAGAAGAAGATGAATAAAAAAAGACCAGACACGTGTAGATTAACGAAAGTCTAATACCCACCCAATTTTGTAATGTGATCTAATCACAGTCAGATCGTGAATCAGACAACAACACAGTAACGTAATCAAGGAAAGCGATAATGGTTTTAAGTATTAATTCTCTTCTGAGTCCAAAACTCTGAATTGAAATAGTCTTCCGTCCTTCTTTTATTTCCTGAAATATAATTGAAATTCCATTTTGCTAAACCATTGTCGCCTTTGACTGTTGCTTTCAGTTTCAGCATCATGATCTATCACTGTAAGAAATATATATGCATCCCTGTCTAATTAGAAGGAACACCAACTCTTTAAAACTATTCCACGAATCAGAATAAGTAGGGCGATATATACATCACCTGTTTATCAAGTCATCTGATCGATTAATACCCATCCCCTCTTCAGACTTCAGTAGACCTTGGTAAAGAGGAACAAATCATCATCATTTGTCTTCTTCTATTATTCCTCTCTATTGCCTATACTTGTTGGTAGAATATATATATATATATATAGTTTGC